TGGGCTTCCTTCCTCATCCCCCTGCTGCCTCTCTCTGAGACCTCAGGGAGCTGGGTACAGCGGCCTCTTTGGTCCAGAAGAAGGAGGTAGGCTGGCAGTTCATAGTAAAGAGCTCCTGTCTAGAAGTCAGAAACCCGGAGTCCCTATCACCTAACTTGTGTGAAGTTGAGTGAGCCCCACCGTTATCTGAGTCATATATGTAAAATTAGAGACTTGAAGAAAGTGGCCTTTGAGGGCACTTGTGGCTACGATGATCTGTGAATCTGTGGCTTCACCTTGAGTAGTTGATGAGAAAATGCTGGTGAGGCATATTTTAGGTTAAAGTATGGATTCTCAAATGCTGGCAGATTAGATGTTATGGAGGGAAAGAGCTCTGGGTAGTAGCGACCCTAGTTACTTATCAGGATAGCTGGTTGGATACCAGGCCCTTGGCACACATGTTCACCAAAAGAGTCCAATCCCTGGAAATTTAGGCAATGCATACTAATGGCCTTTTATTATTCATTTATTCTGTTTTTAATTGACCCATCTAAATGTTCTTTGAATGACTCCTACAACTGGCTTTGTGTTGAGGACATAAGAAAAACAAAAGCAAAAACAAGAAGCTGTCCTTACCCTCAATTTGCTCAATACCCAATGAACAGAACAGGATCCATAACTCATTAGGGTTCCCTAGTCCAGAGAGGCAGCCAGAGGAGGCTCCCTGGCAGAAGACTCTCAGAGCTGAATTTTGAGGACTTATTGAGCTTTGGTAAGATTGGGAGTGTTGGACGGGAAGTAAGTAAAGGCAGGAGGGTGTTGAGGACAAAGGGGTCTGCTTACTGGATTGTTCAGTGAGGAGGGTGCCTGAGCAGAGCTGGGAGACTAAAAGTGAAATCTTCTCCCGCCTGGACTCCCTGGCCTCACGCAAGGGACAAGACGGACAGTGAGACTTGAGCCACAGAGGATAAAGAAACTTGAATCCGGCATCCATCCCTGTTCCTGCCATGTTTTGTGGCTTTGTGCATCCTGCCAGGGGTACACTTTGCAGCTTGTGGATGCTTATTATCCATAGTAATCATAATAATTAATAAAACCTTTTAAAGGGGGCTTTAATCATGCTGGCGCTTTGCTTCCAAACACATAATAAAAAGGAATTACTTATAAAAGTGACAAATTTATTCCTAATTATACCATTATTTTGTTATGCAATACAAGTAAAGCAATCTTTGAAGCTGGAAAAATGTCTCATGCAGAATTAATTAGAACAGTACACTGTTTGGAATTAGGCAATTATTTTATTGGTATTTCACAACTAGAACTTTGTAAGAGCACCTCAGATATTTTCATTAATGCCAGTAAATAGTTATTTTAAACACTTACTAGTATGAGTTCTAAAGATAAATTTTGGACTGTTTTTGGACCTTATGAAAACGTTTTTAGTCTGAGAGAAAATTTATGACACGTGAGTCACTGTGGTCCCAGGGAAGTTTTGAGGAAGCAGATGGCAGTGTTTAGGGAATTCACTTCTTGTTCAACATGACACCGCAGGGGAGGGGCTGCAGAGACATAGCAGTGGGTCCCAGCCAAAAGGGGACCTGGGTGTCATCACCATGCAAGTGAGGGAATCCAGAGAGGGAGAGCTCCCAGGTTACATGGTAAGTCATGGGCTAAGATCATAACTCTCGTGCTTGGACTCTCATTTCTGTGTTCTTACTTTCTTTAAAAAATACAGACTTGTTTTTCAGGTTATAGAAGTAATACCTACTCATATCCAGTGCTCTTTCCCACTGCCCTCTGACCCATGCCCACACTGACTTCTTTATTTCATTTTTGCAGTAGATTAAATAGCCCATGGGTACGGTCATATGTTCTTACTTTCCCTCATGCGTGTAAAACTTGCCTCTTTACCCATCTGTTCCTAGGCTGTAAATAAAGGCTAAGTTCTCTTTTAGTCTTCTCCTAACCAGCTCATGTTCAGGGCTGGGCACATAGCACAAGTGCTATAAAGATTTGCTTAGCTTTACCAAGCTCACAGCCTGTGACCAGAGTGCAGGAGACTCTACACCTCATGAGATTCTTCTGGGCTGACTTCTTGCATTCAGAGAGAGGTGGTGGGTGAGGAGGCAGCCATGCTTGTGAGACTCCCCGTTCGGAGAAGATCAGCAGCCTCTGGTGGGAATAAATGTCCTTATGTAGTGGCCATGGCCTCATTCGTGGGTCATGCCTTTGGATGCCACCGAGGGAGCAGAGGACCTCTTGGTTCCTTGTGTTGTTAAGAATAAAACTTCTTTTTTACCGGAGGTGAATAGAGCTGGGAATATGCATGCCCAGAAAACACATTGGCAGGCAGGGCACTGGCATTCGGATCAGTTGGCTCCACACTCCAAAGGAGGAAGAAAGAAAAGGCTGGGGAGTTGGGGAGTGAAGAAGCAAAAGAACTATGAGAACTGCATGGTTCGCAGGGAAGACTCGGGCAATGAGTTCGCTAACCTCAGCTTTAGTCTGAGTTATGTCACTTCCTCACCATGCATCCTGAAGTAGGGAGATACCTACTTTGGGCCTCAGTTGCTCAAATTATAAAATGAGGGCACTAGACTACCAAGTACCTAGGGCTTGTCTGAGGTGTGCTGTAGTTATCAGCCACACCCCACAGGTGGCTTCTCTTCTGACAGAAACACAGGTCTTGTGAGCTTCGAGTAGCTGAAATAATAAAAATGTTCTTCGGTCTTCCATGGCAGCTTTCTCAATCATTAACGGCTCTCTCGCGGCTCGGCTTTGCCACCTAATATTTAACCTAAACCTTCTCCCCGCTTTTGTTTTAGTTCATCATCGCTTGCTCAGTTCTATCAATCTGCCTATGCATTTCTATGCCACCTTTCACCAGAGTGCTTAGCACCTGTCCTCTCTGAGCAATGAGGTTAATATTGAAGGTAAAATCTATTTCGTAGAGATAATGTACTACGGACCTTTCAGAAGAGCTCTCTATGATAATGAGGAATGAGTTACCACGCTGAGGTTGTTTAAATGTCATTTATTTTAACAAATGACACTCTGAATTTACTTAAAGTTGACTACAATGAAGGAAGGGTGGAAAGTTTTAAAGTTTCATGAAACAATAATAGAACTGCAAAGCAAGGAGCCCTGAAAGATGGATCTGAATGGCAATTCTGATTACAAGCTCTGTGGGAGGGCTGGTTGGGTAGAATGCTTCCTGAGGCTTCTGAAAGGCTCCAGAGATGTGGAGGACGAGGATGTCACAGAGGGCACTGGTTCGGCCTCTGAGCTTCCTTCTCTCTTCCATTGTGCTCATGTGTGTATATATGTGCTCATGTGTACACAGATGTCTGGGTAGGTATACGTGTGCAAGTGAGCTAGAGAGGGAACATGCTCTTTCCTGTTGATTGCACTGTTTAACACTCCCCCTGGCACTGAATCAAGGCTATGAGTCCTGAGGCAGTTGTCACTCAGTTACTCACTCTTGTCTGGAGCAGTGTTTGGCTGTCTGAGAACGAAGACCATGTTTTATTCTCATCTCTACCAATAGGAGTTAACATAGTTAGATATAATGATTTATGCTTGTTCATTGAAAAATTGAGCTTGGAGGGTAGACAGTGGGTAAAGGCTGCAGAGTCTCCTTGGGGAAAACATGGTGAAGGGCAGAGGAATTCCTTTATTTGAATGAGTGTTCTTAGGGGTCTAGGAAGGGATTCTTTTGATTGCAAGCAACAGAAACCAGTTAGAACTAATTTAAGAAAGAGGTGGGTGGGATGAAGGTGGGTTGGTTGTCAGGATGCTGGTGTACCTTGGGGACATAGGACAGCTGGTTCTTTCAAGGGCATGGAAGAAGGAATTGGAAAGCCATCAAGGAACCATTGTAGTAGGGACTCATTCCATCTTTGTCCTTTGTCTCTGCCTCTCTGCTCATTCTTCCTTCTTCCTCTCTCTCAGACTGGCTTCCTCTCTTTCTCTCTCTCTATATATAGAGAGAAGAAAGCTGCCCAGAAACTCCCAGTTCTATCCTCTCAACTCCAGCCATACATGAAGAATGCTCTGGTTGAATTCAATTCCGATTCCATATTCCTAGGAGAGATAATCTGATGGATTTGGCTTAAGTCAAGAATCCACCCCCAAGAGCTAACTATGTGTATTCACCTTACCCCTCTGGCTGCTGGTGTAAATAAAGAACATCTCCCCATTGGTAAATAGTAATAACAAACACAATTTTTACATGGAAAAAAAAAAAACAACAACAGTCTATCCCTGGTCCAATCATGCATGGCCAAGAAGAAAAGGTCAAATAAAACAAATGTGGGCTACTGGGGGCTTGTTCCTGTGTATGGAGGTGGCAGTTCTCATGGAAATTGGCCATTCTGAGCTAGGCAAGTATCACAGAACGTTTCTAATACACCCGAGAACTTTAGAGCATACATGAAGCTGAGCTCAGAGTCGGCTGCCATTTTGTCTTCCTCGCAGTGGAACGTGGCATATAGTAGTTAGCCCATCACACCAAGTGAGATGATGTCTGAGGTGGGTGATTCGTGAAGAGTTCGATCATAACAACATTTTTAAAGTTAAATAAGTTATTTTCTTTTCAGTCCAATCAATTCCCTTATTTGAACATTTAAGATAATTATAGGTTACAGGTAAATTATATATTATACACATGCTAAATTATAACCCATCTCCACCAGTTAATATTTATTGAGCAATGAATAGGCAAACTGTGCTAACTTAGGGATTCAATACCTGAGTGTAATTAGGCATTTCGGCTGGGAAAGAGTATCGCTGCATCTTCCCAAACATCCCTCCCTTCTCTCCCCAGTGTATGTGAAGGGAAATGCAAAGATAATATGCTAACCCTTAGCTTATCTCTGAAGTTGTTTACACAGGGGAAAAAATCAATTACTTTAAATATTTTAGATTCTATTTCCCAGTAACTAACGAATTGCAATTTCTGACGCTCTTAAGAGCCAAGTAGAAGAGTGAAATGTAACGTTTTACATTTTTCATTCCTCTAGGGCTTCTTGTGGGTCTCTCACATGCAGACATGAAGGAGATTATAGTGAACCTGACAGCCTGGTGCTCCAAGCTTGGGACCAGTGTGGTAGACAGACTGGTGAGTGTTCTATTTGGTATTGCTGATGGTGTAGTCCGGCTCAGAAAATCAGGTTATGGTTGTGCAGGAAGTAGAAATCACAGGATATCTATGGCTTTGCCAACAGTGGATGAAACTTAAAAAAAAAAAAAAAAAAAAAGTTTAGCGATTTATAAAGCATTTTGAAATCCAGAACTTAAAATTTAAACCATGGAACAGACGACTCTTTTATAGGAATTGCTGCAATCATGAAGGAAGATGTGGTGGTAGCCCAGTGATTTAGCATTTATCAACCCCCCATGATGACTTCTCTTCACAAGAGGGCTTAATACCCAAACCTTAAGGATGCTCTGAGTCTCTGTGGACTACTTTGGCAGGAAGGGAGGGGAGGGCAGAGGGAATCAGAGAGGGGTGGAGGTTGTCTACAGCAGATGTGACAGAAGTGGTGCCTTACGCAAAAAGCACATTGACCATCAGGACAGCTTGACAGAGAAAAAAATTCCGGGCCTGAATCTGATAAATCTGGAACCCTGTTGATAATATGAGTTCATACCCGGTTTAGCTGGGACTTTCCAGTTTATGCCTGTCTGCATTTGGATGATGAAATATTTTATCCCCTACTCGTCCCAGGCATCAGCTCATGCAGAGGTTTTAGAAACTACCACCTGTGATGGACTAATTCACTCTTCAAGTTGCATATATTAGTGGAATCCTTTCTAAGCCTGTATGTTCTTTGTTCCACCCATATTTGTATTTCTAACAGCTCTAAATATCCCTACGACCACTACAGATGTACACTCCTAGAGCGATTTCTACTTTCCAAGCTCATTCTATAAGATTTTTCCTCTGAATCTCAGTTACCAAGGGATGGGCAAAGGCTGCGCTATTATTGCTCAGAGATATTAAAGCACTTACTCAAGGTGATCATGGTTGTCAGGGGCAGAGCCCAGAGTAGAACTCAGATTCACAATTCCCAGGCCAATGCTTTTTCTGCCATATGAAGGGCAATGTCATACACAAACTGCGGTTTCCAGGGCAGAGCCCGTGTCTCACTATCTAGGTGTCCCCATCACCAAGCACCCTGTGTCGGTGTCCACAAGACTCATAGAACCAGGGGAGAGACCACAGAACTACATGTGTGGCAACTTGGACTATAATTTCACTGCTAAGTATCTGTGTTACGTGGCCCCTCTCTCCTTTTAAAAACATGCCGGCTTCTTTATTTCTTTCCTATAAAGTGAGGGCAATAAGATTAGTCTTGTCTACTCAGGAGTTATAATGACAAATATACATGAAAAGACTGGGGTAACATTTCGAAAAAAGAAAATGCTCAATATTTAAAGTAGACAGATATAAAAATATAATGGGTTATTTTTCCCAGAAAAAGCCTTAAATGGTCATGCAGAGTAGCTCCCTGCAGCCTTTGTTTGGCCACCAATCCAGGTCTCCCCTCCAAAGCCCTGAGTGCGCTTGGTCACCATTGCCATATCTCTGCATGTGAAGTGGAAAGAGGGAAGTAAATGTGAGATGCAGTGGGTATAAACCAAGCAAACTTTAATCTTTGCAAAAGAAAACTGAAGGCAGGTCCTATGCATAATGTCCATAATCCACATTTTGGAATTGAGGAAGGCATGTTTGTGCTTATTAGACGCACGCTTATACACACATTTGCTTAAGTGGACGTGGCTTTCCCTTTCACTTCCTCACTGGAACTGTTGGGTGTGCTGCTGTTTTGTTCTAGAGAAGACGTATCTGAGTCCAGAGGAAATGGTAGCAATTTCATAGGAGATAAAGTGATCCAACACAGCTCACACACACAATAAATGAAATGAGAGGCGACAGACTTGTAATGCGTCTTTAATGTAATCACGACTATATTCCAGCGATGGAGGTGTGGTCTCAATTTGTATGGATGCACATGGCTTTCTCATTTGAGATCATCATTAGTGGGTTGTACGTACCTTGTTGAAATGGGAATCTGCCCTGTGGAAATTTAAGGCTCTTAATGAAACTAGAAAACGTCAAGTGTGAGAAGGGACTGGGCTGAGTCAGATCACCCATGCAGCCGGATGACCTGATTTTCAGTGGTCAATACCAAAGATTCTAAATTCTGCCCCTGTCTGAGAACAATACAATGTACTCTCTTCTGAAAGCTGATGGTAAAGGGAGGACCAACTGCCCTGACAACACAAGACCACGTGTTTGGGGCGGGGTGTTCGGGGTCATCTTACATCTCCTGTGTACATGATTTATAAACTGGATTTGATCCTTGTTCCTGTTCCTCAGCAAAGGAACGCTATTTACATTTTAAAGAAGGCTTTTGTTGCTCATATTTCTTACTCCCCTAGATTACCACAGCTTCTTATCACATTCAACCTGTCTCATAGTTATTTGTGCCTGCGTTTTATTTTCCCTGGCAGACTGTGAACCCTTTGATATTAAGGTCCAGATCGTAATCATCTTTGCAATCCCTCCTTGCACCTTAGTACCAGGCCTGAAAAAGAGGCAGCTTGCATCCGTGCTTGGTGAACTGAATTTAAACTCTTCCTTTAAATCCGGCAGGCAGGGCCATCCTGCTTGTTTTTGTTAGAACAAGGCCCTGTTATAACAAAGCAGGGCCTTGTTATAACAAAAACAAGGAATAAAAAAACAAAACAAAGAAAAATGATTCCACTGAAATCGCTGTGAGATTGTGTGTGGTGAAGAAGCCCTATTCTGTTCCCATGTAACAAGGCATAACTCTGAGGGGGAATGGAGACCCTCTTCCTGCTTCAGCATGGGATAGGGAATGAGCTGGAATGCAGTGAGAATTCCAGAAGACACAGCCTGGTTTGGGCACACTGAGGGCTTGAGTGCTTACAGCAGTGGTGGCACCCATGGTGGGCGCACTCCAGTCAGAGCGGCCCTGCCCAGCACCTGCTGCAGCAGAAGTGCCACATGCCTATGGAAGCAGTAGTGTGTCAATGACTCTGGGAAGGATGGGCACTAACGGCGTTGCTCTGGACACCGTTGTGCCCTCCTTGAAGATAGGAGGCAGCATTGGTGGTGTCCCTGAATGAGGGACACGAATGCACGGTGGGCTTGGCATCCTGTAGCAGTTTTGGCATAAGAGACTGGGAGGAGTGGCAGGGACGACATTTACAAGGATTGGTGTAGCATCATGGTAGCTAAAATAATTTTCATCAACTAATGGGAAAACACCAGAAATATCAATTACAGAAAATTGAGAGAGGGTACATGTTATGCATGTGGTGACAAGACCCAAGTCTGGGACAGTACCAGTGACACAGGGAATAGGAAGAGCTGAGGGTCTACATTGCCTCAAATAGGGAAGGACTGTAGGCCACTGGCCAGTATAGCTCCAGCAGCGTTCTGTGACTCCAAATTAGAGGGACCTGTCTGCTGCTGGTATGCAGGAAATGCTAGTAAGGAATATTAGGGCCCTTAGAGCCTGGGGGTGGAAATTACCTTCAGTGATAAAGAGGATGGGAGAATGCTTTCCCTGTTTCTTCCATTTACCTTCCCCAGAACCACAGCCTTCTCCGGCCCAGGCGAGCGCCCCCTGATACCTCAGAATTTACATTTCACAATGTGAAAACAAGATCTGATATAGATAATTTAGCCCCAGGAAGCTTAAGCCAGGAACAATCAAGCAGGGCTTCAGTAACAGAGAACACCAGGCCTCTTTATTTCTTTACCCTGGGACTTTTATTTCTGAGCCAAGAAGATAACACATCTTAATAGCAAGCAACTGAGTTAACTAGATAAAAGGTTTCATAAACAGTTAGTGAAATCTTGAAATCAGACAAACCGGAGATTCACAGCCTTACCTTGCTTGACTGGATCTAAATGTACATCACTGAAAGCAACACAGAATGAGATGCTGAGATACTGAGCGCTACTCCCGTGAGCCGATACATACGGGCTTCCATTCATTCATTCATTCATTCATTCCACAGATAGATATTGAACTCTACTACACAGTTTCCTCTCAGCTTAAGTCTGAGGATAACAGATGACAAAAGAATCAATCAGCTAGAATGGATTTAATGATCTTACAAGATAACGTTTACATTAAACCAGTGAGTACATGGAGCTCTAAAAGGCCATTTTTCCATACTAGTTGATAGTACAGAAATAGAAAACCTGAAAAGCTTAGATCCATAAGTAAATAATGGTACTAGAAATTAATATAAAAGTATGAAAGATGACTTAAAATGAATAAGTTGACATGTAGTGAAAGGATCAGGATTATAAATTATGGTGATTCTATGGTTAAAAGGAAATGATAGGCAAGCAAAAATAGAAAAACTCAACAAAAGGGAAGAAAAACTACTTGGCAGGAAGAAAGAGATCTGGGAGCCGTTTAGGAAATTGATTTTGGTGAAGGAAGGTGATATAAATGAGACTAGAGGGGCTGAGAGCCTGGGGCACACAGTGGGGGGCTTTGGACTTGTGAAATACTGCTGGCCCCCTCATGGACCACCTATAACCAACAGAGTTTTTATTTTTTGCGGTACGCGGGCCTCTTACTGTTGTGGCCTCTCCCGTTGCGGAGCACAGGCTCCGGACGCGCAGGCTCAGCAGCCATGGCTCACGGGCCCAGCTGCTCCGCGGCATGTGGGATCCTCCCGGACCAGGGCACGAACCCGTGTCCCCTGCATCGGCAGACAGACTCTCAACCACTGTGCCACCAGGGAAGCCCCAACCAACATATTTTAAATAAAGTACAAATTCAAGAAAATTCCAATTACTGTGGCAGTAGCTAGAAAAAGGGAATATCAAAGGAAGTATCCAGGGGAAAAGTGATTGATTCTGAACAAAGGAAAATTAAAGATCAAAAGCAAGAAGATAAAGGAAATCATACTGGTTTCGGACAAAGACTACATGCATTCAGAACCTATAAATAGATAAATAGGGAGCAGTTTTCTGAAAAAGTTAATGAAATGGAGCAACAACTGAGATATGGAAAATAATGATTATGTGACGATGGGAATAAAGCCAGTCAAATGCTACCACATCAATTAAGGAAACAGCAGGCCTCCAAAGCGGAGACAAAAATAATACAACTTC